ACATTTCTGGGACCTTGAAACTTGGAAGGGAATCGTCATATTTTGCTATAGTGGGTATTTAAATTTAGATAAATCCTCATACCATAAGTATTTTGTGTTTAATTTTAAAATTTCCATTTCGTATTACACAATCATTTTCAAAGCACTTTGGATACATATCAATAAAATTTGTTTCTGCCTGTTTATGATTTCATCGTAAATTTGTGAAGAATTTCCTAAAAATATTCGAATATACATAATTTTTAGTGTCAAAATATTTAATAATTATACATTAATTGAAATGCATTTATAGTACAGAGGAAATGTAGAAAGATATTGCAGGTGATGTATTATGTATCACCTGCAATAATAATAATAGTACAATTTGACTGAAGGGGAAAAGAAAAAAACAGATGTTTCAGCGTTTTAAAAGGGAAATGGACAATGGACATCTTTACAGTAAAGTCTTGGATGAAAGTTTTACTGTGACTCAACTTGGAAGACACTGTAATTTATAGTGGAGGCGGGGGGGTCCCTTTCTTCGTTAAACAGCTGCATTGAAGGGTGATCAGGTCCCTTTCTTCGTTAAGCCACCGCATTGAAGTGTGAAACGCTACAACTCAATACTTGTAAATTGGCTGATGACTCAGAACAGTTAACTGAAACTTGCTCTTATTCTAATGCCATTTCTCTAGACTATGGCGAGAACAAACAGAAGTTTTTCTTTAAAATTAAATTTCAAAGTTATCTCAAATTTAATTCTTCATTATAAAGGTAAGTTATTGATTTGTAATATCTAAATTAATCATAAACTAAATTCTTATAATTTAAAACTTGCTAAAAATTCAATTCACGCTAAACTTTAATCCATACATTTATCTGAAAAATCCAAAATTATCACCATTAACAATGCAAAATGTCTACCTAATATTAATAACGTATTGTTATATTAACATGAAATATTTTTATGATAAATGTGAAATATAAATATAATCTATGTTTCCATACATTAAGAAACATCATAACAGGCCAAAATTAAAAACACAAAATTTCTTAAACACATCCTGCGCTATACTGCAGGATCGATCAACCAATCAATCGGCTCGACAATCGAAAATGAATCGACTTGAATGGAGCACATCAACATCTAAAAAGCGTTTCTATTAATATGCAAGATATGAGAAACAAGTTTGAAGACATTATGAAAGAAGTTGAGTTTATTGCAAATAAATGGGGCATAGAAACTGAATTTGGAAAATAAAAGAGAAATAAAGAACCTAAAAAACTGTCATTGTTAACAAATACGAAAATTATTAATAATGTTTCAAAAATACAAAAAACATATAAAGAAGACTTGCACTGAAAGTACAACTTTTATATTTTTATAAATACTTTCAGAACAGAAATCCAAAATTTGAAATCCTTTTAAGGATTTAGCTAAATTAGCAATTGTAAAATATTATGACATGACAAGCAGTTATTCGGGAGTGTGCAATTCACTTATATTGTATTTATCATTATCTCTGTAACCACAGCCACGAGTGAGAGGTCATTTTCACTACTGAGACTAATAAAACATATTTAAGAAACATATATAAGAACAAGCATGACACAAGATCGGTTGTCAAACCTTCACTATTGAGCGTTTGAAGCTGAGATGGCTGAGAAAATGGACGTCCAAGTATTGATAAATAATTTTGCGGAAAGGAAGGTTAGGAGACGCAAATTTTAAAAGAAAGATTTTTTTCTTTATGATGAATTTTGGCAACCAATGTTATCATTACACTTATTAAGGGAGGAAAAAATTAGAGAAGAAGAGCAATGCGGACTGAGGAAAATTAAAAGGAAACAGTAAAAAACTTTAGCATTCATATTTTTTATAAAAATCATGTATTCAAGTAGTTTAGTGTACCAAAAGGTTTTTAAAAAGATTAAAAAAAACTTTACCATACATATTTTCTACGAAAATTGTATGTTCAAATAGTTTTCTGTATGAAGTTTATGATAAATATATTTTATATTTAACAAATGTATCATTTACATTATAAAAGTTCTTATTTATTACTTGTATATTATTGCATAAATCATGTTCGTAAGCTGAGTAAATCACAGAGTACTATACATTAATGTAATAGCTTTTCTGAACGTTTATCAATTATCTTGTCTGTCAGTTTATAATACAACTAATTATTTATAAGTTTGCTAACTTAAGCGAAAAAAACTTAGATAGGCGCAGATTTTACAAAAAATTTAAAACATAGTATGTAAAAACTTCTTGGATTTACATAAAATCTCCGCAAATTAGGCTTTCTTCCTTTTTTAATGCTATACGTCGACATGTTCCTTTTTTCTATATAGACTTATTCATTTATTATCAGTATGCATCTCAGTGAAAGGAGAAAAAATCTGTCTCTCGCACTCACACAAAAAGTCTTAAGTAGCTGAATTAAAATCATCTGACGTCAAATACCCAGTCTAAAGCAAATTTTCATTTCACTAGTTGGTCAAGGGAAATTATTTTCCTTTTTAGTCTTTCTTCATCTTACGTACCTTTCAACTGGTTCCCTAAGAACGTGCTTTTATTTTTTTAGCAATTAATCCAGATGTGATAAAAATCATCATAAAAACATTGCCTCCTGGAATCCTTGATTTTTTTTTAAACTTTTCGCTTTTTTTTTTTTTTTTTTTTTTTTTTTTGGAAGAACATTAAATTTATTGGGAAAGGGGCCCAGGAAAATTTTTTGCATAGGGGCCCAAGAGTGACCACTGAAAATAACCATAATGAAAAATGATTACTCGTCAGTATGCTACATATACCTCAAATAGAAAATGCACACTTTTAACCATCCGAAGGGAGTATAAAAACTAATGAAATGCGTTATTATTTTTTTATGCATAATCTTTGTATGATATGAAAATGGAAGTCTTTCTAACGTAAATAAAATATTATCATTTCAGTCGAATTTTTCTTTTTGTAAGATTTTGTGTTGCTTTTTTCTGGGAGGGGCAGAATAGGATTTCTGTAATATTTTCACATTCTGAGTGCCTGCGTCTCATATAACTGTTTTTGGGATTTGGATCTTTTTTTTTTTTTTTTTTCTCTTTTTTTTAAATTTTACATGCTGAAGTTAAGTAGAAAAGAGAGAAAATGTGGCGCCATCTGCTGATGATTTTGGGAAGAGTTTTTATGCACCGCATTTTTATAATATCGTAAACTATAAATGTTTACAATTCTCTTTAATTTGTCGCAATTTACTTGGTAGAGAAGCTGACTGCCAAGTAATTCAGCGTCAAGTAAAGAGAATTCGTAGCAATTACTTTTATTTTAATAATTATTATGTAAAATAGCGATAATTTTAATTTCGGTTAGCTATAATTTTCGTGTTTTGTTTGTTCTTTAGAGCTTTATGGGTATGTCCGATTTACTTCTTTTTTTTTATTATTATTATTTCTTTTACTATTTTGTATTAATTGCACAAATTGCTTTATAATTTGATATAAAGATTTTATTTAAACGTTTATATCCTGAATTTTTATCAATCATAGAAAAATTATTTTACCCAAAATTATTTGTCGAAACTTCAGAAATTTCAGATTATTAAAAATTCTGGTATAAAAAAAAAATCAGTCTAACATCCTCCCGAAAAGACCGTCTCTAAATGTGACCAGCATGTCTGAGAACATAAATATGATCTCTGTCAGACAATCATTTCCGCAAAAGACTAGAATTCTTCGAACTAGGTGGTCGTTTTAGGAAGAGTTCGCTGCATTTAAGTTTTCTTATTTATTTTTTATAATTATTATCACTAAATGCATTGCAAAGTTATTCAAAGCTAGTATCGAGTTTAAATTTATTGGTGGAACAAAGAATACACATCTTCTGAACTATATTATTAATTATGCAAATTCATAAGGACTATTTGTATGCTTGTAGGTATCAGTTTATTCAAATCCAGTAAACTGATACTTAAAGAATATATGAATTAAGCAAAATTCGCTTTAAGACTTCACTTTTTACTATAAAGAACAAAAAATTACTAAAATATTTCTGTCTGTGTATGTATGTTGGCATATATTCATGCAGGAATGTTGTAAAATAGCATTATCATTACTTGTATGTATCTAATACAAAATTCTATTTTGATACTTGAAAGGGTTTTCATTTTGCGAGTGGAAAAGAAAAATATTATGTAGTACCGTATTATACTTCCAATATATTTTGAAGAATAAAAAAAAAGTACTCTTATAAATTAACATCATTACTAATTTAAATTAAACCATAAAGAACGAGAGTACATAATTTTACATAATCTTAACTATAAAACATTAAAATTAAGTTATTTTAATATTCAGTTCGAAAGTTACGTAATTAAATTAGCATTTGCGGTACTACCGTGTATGCAACGTATTACCGTAAATGCTAATTTAATTATGTAACTTTCGACTTCTTTTGTAAAATATATATTTACATATTTTACAACACGTAAATTCTAAATGGGCTTAATGCAATTTTATGCTTTGAGCATTTTATGCTATTTTATGTATTTAATTTTAAATCAAAGCAATAAAGGCTAATAATAAATTTTTATTCATTTCGCAGAATGCACACTAATTGCGCAACAAGTACTTTAGAACAAATTTTCATTTATTCTTCCTAATCTGGAAACCTTGCCATTTGTTTCACTGATTTAAAAAAAACCTTCCCAAATTTAAGAGCGTAAATTAAAATAAATATTAACGATTTTACCGTCGACAGAAATAATATTAGCACAATGAATTTAAAAAAATCACAATGTATACACGTTTACTAAATTAAAAAATTAGGAGAAAAGTAGATTATTAAATACTTTCTTCAAGTCTAGAAATCAATTATATTTTAGAAATTCATTAGTATATTTTATTTATTATCAGCAGTATTAGAAATCTAGATTTGCGTAAAACGATGAAATGGTCGATAGATGTCGCTTGCGCAATTGACGCATGCGCAATATATTCCGTTAAGGTGAGATAATCTTTGTAACTTCCACTCCGCCAGTAGAATTCGGTTCTGTTTCACCGTTGAGGGAAAGCAATATTGCAGAAGAACGGTATGATATATATGTAAATCGACACAGTTAGTAAGACGAAAACATGGATGAATGCGATCGTGTTAATCCAATAACAATTACTTCGGACGAAGTTAATGAAACGGTAGCTACTTTCGTTTACCAATATTTAGATCACAAGGTCAGTGAAAACGGTATTCAGTGGGAGAGTCGTAGTCGATACCAAAATCAAGATGCTAAAATTCAAAAAGTTGGTAAAGCTCTGCAGTGTTTAGCTGATGAATTTGCTGCACAGTTCAAGCAGCAATTTGTGGACATGTGTGAGAGTTTAGATGTGAGGGAAGAAACCATAAAATGTACTGTTGAAGGTGTAGCGAATGAGCTTTTCAGTGAAGGTGTTAAATGGGCTCGTATTGTTGCTTTCTTCGTTTTTGGTGGTGAATTGGCTGTACATTGTGCGAAACAAAGTATGCCGCAATTAATAGACAATATTGCTTACTCATTAGCTGCCTATATAACTGAACAACTTTTACCTTGGATTAATGACAATGGTGGTTGGGTAAGTGAATTTTTTGCTAGACAAAAAATTTTTAAATTTTTTTTATCTTTGTAAAAGTTTAAAACAACTTTTTTACTTGCTTCCGGTTTTTCAGCGACCTATCTGAATGAGGAATTGTGGACTGTTATTTTTGAATAATATATACACTTTCCTAAATACTGCATTGCACTTTCCTCTTTAAAAAAACAAAGCATCAAGAGCAGCTGCAATGCAGACGATCGGTATTGTTTTGTAACTGCAAGTCTTTAGTTTTTTGTAAATTCGGTATTTCTGAATTCAGTTTTGAAAATACCATTCCCATTAATCTTTCTGCAAGATTAATGTAGAAAGAAATCGAATTGTCTGCGAGTGAAGATTAATCTAAAGTTGTGCTTAATATTTTTAAATGCTTGTTTTAAAAAAGTGGTATGTTATCGAAACTAATACTGTATTCAGGATGGATGAAAATATTATCTATTTGAATTACATTGGCTATCTCTGGAGTATGTACAAGAAGTGAGAAGCTGAAAGCTTATTTTTAATGATTTCATGGTTAGAGAGACTTCGTTAAGGTTTCATGATTAACGGGAGAAAAATAGGTTATGTAGGTACCGTAATTTAATAAAAAAAATGGGTACCATTATAAAAATAAATTGATAACTGTAATAGGTTAACCATCTACCTTTTATAGTTATTTTTTATATGATAGTGGTTTTAATTATTTTTCTCGCTATTTTATCATACGTTTGAATTTAAAAGTAGTATTTAAGTGATGCCATCTAAAGAAAGAAATCGCAAATTAAGGCCCTAGATTTTCAAACTGTACGTGCAAACGAAGTGTACAGAATTCACCCATACCGTTACCGATACATGATAAAATGGTAGATGTAAACTGAAGTATTGACAATTTGTCAAATTCTGGATGTAGAAAATTCAAACCTTTTTGTAAACTATAATGCAAAGTGTGATCTCTCGTGCATACGTTGCTACCAAAAGGCGACTCTTAAATCTGACTACAAAAACGCTAAGTTTTGCGGACCCTTTGTTAGAAATAACGTACTAATATTTCTACTTAAAAGGTACTTTCTTGTCAAATCGGCCTCCGCGATTATTCGGCAAAATTGGGCAACTTAATTGCCCAATATATAGCGTCATTCAGGGCTTATGCAATAACTTTAGGTTTTGGTGCTTATCGAGATTACAGCAAAGCATACAAGGGCTATCTGCCTAGAGATGGATGTCTTTGTAGAGGACTTTTTAAGGGAAATACGTATACACGTTGCGCATGAGGAAAACCACGAAAACACTCCCCTGTAGCCAGAGCTCTTTCGCCTGGACTAGAACACAGGTCGGAACCGCTTTATTGCTCGGCCGATGGTGAGGCAGGGCAACCTTAGCTACCGGTAATACGTGTACTGTGTTAACTGTATGTAGTTAATATCGTATATAATTTTGTTTTGCTAATGTTTGCACTCGTATATTTTAGTTATTTATCATCAAGATTAAAATATAGTGATCTGCTAATAATATAGTATAGCCTAGTACTTTCATTTCTGTGCATAAAATTTCCTTCCGCAGTTGAAGATAAAGGAAAAAAAGTTGTATTGAAGATTGGGGAAAACGAATTTAAAAACACGCTTAGGGGAGGATGGTATATTGTGTGCACGAATTCCAAGAAATATTAGCTATTAAAGATATTTATGGAAACCGAACCATTTTATGAAAAAATTAATGCCACTATAGTGTAATATAACATGAATTAGTCTTTGTGCGAAGGAATAATACATTCTTGTCGTTTTTAATCTTTGGTACAACAAACGACGTAAGAATTCAGGATAATTCAAATGTAAACCTACTTTAGGGTTTCTGAAAGGCTTGCATTGTTAAAAAAAATGCGATTCACCATTCCCCTTTCTTACTCCTTATCATAGCTTCGCCAAGGAGTTCGGTATTCATTTGTTATAATATACGCAGTAACTGCTGACTAGCGTACAGGCACCGCAAAATAGATCGTGGTTAATGTTATCCTTCGAATATTGTCAAAGTTCGTCTGTGTGTATACGAAAACGTGGAAATACATCGCTTTTCGTGATCAAAATTCGGTTAATGTTATCAAAATATTATAGGATAAATATTTTAAATTGAAATAAAGACGTTAAGTGAAAGATAAGTCTCTGAATAAGGCCGAAATATAGTATGTAAATTCTCAAATGACAGACGTCGCCGAGTGAGAAATTAAGTCGCCAGGAATGTTGATTTGGGACAGCATTTTAGTCTTGAACCAGTACTCACAAAAGGTAAAGGAAGTTGGATAACTAAAAACGGGTCCTGCTAACATGAATTGTAAGAAATTTAACGTTTAGGTGGATATTGATGGAAAAATTAATTTGCAGCATTCATGGCAGAAGATGCCTGTCTCCCTGTTTCTTTCTTAAACAAATTTCTATCATGAACAGTTCGTAAACGAAGTTCTGTGTAATGTTTCCATATAATCAGCTATTAATGACTTTTTGCCCTATTAGACATTGTGAAAGTATTTGTTTCTAATTCTTTAATAGTTTGAAGGATATTTTCCTTATCACTTAATGTTATGAAAATAGTCGCGGGCAAGCATGACATTAACCGGCACCTAGTGTAATAGAGAATTTTGGCATAGTAACATGTCTTTTTCTATAATGCATTGTCTAATTTTGCAATGATTTGAATTATTAATATGGAATGAGAAATTCTTTCAAAATTAAGATATTTTTATCTAGGCTGGAAAAGAAAATGTTTGCAAAACTAAAGAAGTGTAGATGAAAATGTTTTCATTTAAGTAGAATAATTTTTCACATAAACTTAATTGTATCAGATTTTCTTTGCCTTTGAAGTATAATGGGAAGCACTTCCGCAGAGAACCCGGAAAATGTAAACATCGCAAACTTTGGCGATAATATTTTAAACCTGGTAACCCATCGGATTTATCCTATTTGCTTGTTCGAAGTTTGCAACCATTCCTCATGCGTTCATTTTGTTGAATTATCACTGTCGTTGTTCGCATTTGCAGATTTATATTATTCTTATTATTTTTTCTAAATTTTTTAACAACGAATAGATAGAAATATTGGTAAAATCCTAATATACGGTGCAGCGACTTTGAAAATTATCGCCAACACCAAAAATGATCCAAAGAACGTCTATATATATACTACACACTATATACTATGTGTGTATATAACATAGTATATACTACCCGTTAACTACTCATCGTACATGTCTCGTTTTTACTGCTCATCATAAAGTCGCCAAAAGTAGCCAAATCCTGTGTGCACCGGATACTAGGATTAAACCGAAATATTTTCGTAGATATATGCCGGTTCTCGGTTCGCGATGAAAGGAAGAAAATACGGCGGGAGGGGTGAATGCTAATTTGTAACACGGCTGTTCACGTTGTGTTTTTAACTATTAACAGCTTTAAGAACCATGAGGTTTCCAACCTCTAAAAAATTTGTTTCGTAGGCCGCAGAAATGTGCATTTTAAATAATTTAGAAATGCTTTTATTTTTATTATTGGTTATTGTCATCTAAAATTATGAGAATAAATCAATTTTTAGCGTAAAATTTTAATAAGATAATATATTATTAATGCTTTTCTAACAATAACCTTTCAGAGGATGGCAGGTGTGACATAAATAGATGATTAAATTGAAATAAAAAATATTATTGATTATCTAAGATGACAGAATAGTTCGATGCATCACTATGGTCATCAAAATTGGCAAACCACTGCTGGTGTAAGGAATATATTGTTTTCTGTGTTAAGTGGAATTTCAGACCAATTTTTTTCGTATATCACGCTTAACCGGTTAATTTCAGTATATTAGAGCCCACCAGCGGCCGAGCGGTAAAGTCGCTGAACACTGGTAGTTCGGTCCGAGGTTCGAATCCCGCGAACGGGCTGGCTGCATGTGTAACGTGTATACGAGCCAGTTTCCCTTAGAAAGTGCTCCACGAAGGCATCCCTCCCCTTAGGCGGATAGCCCTAGTGTGCTTTGCCATAATTAAATACACCACACCACACCACATCACCAGTATATTAGTACTAATTTATATTTTTTAATGAATTTTTATTTCCATTATAAATCCTTATATATTGTCTTATGCTTAATATATTCTTTTCTGTGCTAAAAGTTAAATTTTCGTATATCACGTTTAACCGGTTAGTTTTACATCTACATACTTATTATCTGTGAATTTTTACTACCATATGCTTAATATATTGTTTTGTCTGCTAATTTGAATTTACATGCACTCACGTTTACAAAATATCACGTTTATACGGCTCATCGTCGATGAACGGCGAGCTTGGCGAGTAAAAATGCAACGGCGCCAACGGGTTCTCTGCGGATGAAAACCCGTATAAGGAAATAAAATTACATATTCAGCAGTTTTCATCATGTAAATTAGTAATTTTGTAATAAGTACTAAAGGCAGAAAAGCCTGTTTTCCTAATTTTTTATTAAAGTATTAATATGAGTTACATTATTAGAAATATTGTTTTTAATGATCTAATTGCTTGATTATGATAAACGTTTTAAGTTAAAATGCAGCTTACTTACAGTTTAAAGTATCCATTGAAAAGAAAAGTATTTGGACGCCATTAAGTTTGTTGGTCAAATTTCCGTTTTGATCATCATTCACTACTCGCTTAAAAAAATTTTATGATGGTTATGCTAAATGTAGAAATTTAGGCTGAATTAAAATAAATATTAATAATTAGAAAATAAAATTTTAAGTATTAAATAAATGAGAAATTTTTATTGGTTTTTTTTTAAAAATTAGTTTTTGGTTTTAATACAATATTTAATTAAAATCTAATTTAAATGTCTTAGTATTTATTTAAGTCATGAAATAAAAGTTTAAAAAATTTATTGATAAATTTATATTTATAATATAAATATATTATAAATATAAATTTATCAATAAATTTTTTGGTAAATTTATATTTATAATATTTTGCATTTAAAATTATCAAGTTTTTTCATTTGTCAAGCTCTTTGACTTCAGGTCTAATTTTTTATTGAATTCCATGGTTAATCTTCGGATTATGGTAACTTGGCGAATTTTTGGCGAAAATTTTGCGACCAACCCTGCTACAGCAACCTGCTAGTTTTTTGGACGCCATTTTGTTTTCACGAAGTAAAAGCATGTTCCCCCTCCCCCCAACAATCTGCTAGCCGAATTGCGCTGTGCTAGAACTTTTATGGAACAAAAGTGCTTAATCATGACGAAGATTAGGTACGAAATTGGGGAAAGTGCAGAATCGCCCACTGCGTGCCGCGTTTTTAAGAATTGCACATACACGGTATCCATGTACACGTCGACCTATTTTTCACTTTAAAAAAAATCCCAGAATTGCACAAAAATGGCATTGCGCACACTCTTCACTTTATCCATGTACACTGCTAAAGTCCTAGTTAGGCAACCTTTACCGCCTTACCAAAATTTCGCCAAACTACCTGTTAGCATATTCCAAAGATTAGCGAATTCCTTTTCATTCAAGATTATTTCCAAGCATATTTCGCTTTTTCAATTTGATTTGATATTAGTTTATGTCATAGTTTTGCTGAATTTGTATAGCAGATTCTTCTGAATTGTTCATAAAGCTTGGACTAAAAGAATCAATGAGAGAAATAAATGGCTATTAAATTTTAGACTTCTTCATTCACCAAATAGGTTACTTGCATGGAATGAAGTATATTTCGAAATTTATTTCACAATGTGAAATGATAGATTTTGCATTGTTTTGCTTGTGCAGTTTTATTCAAATCACTGAAGCATAATATTAAGTGCTTAATTTGCGTATTGATGTTTTTTAAATTTGATTTAGTTAACTAGTTGTTTGTTTGAAAATCATTCAGTTTGATAATGTTGAAGATAAAATATGAAAATAAATCATTGGAATGTTCATCAAATCCTTGAAAAAATTATTAAAAATAGCATTAATTGGCTGCCAGCAACATTTAAATTCTCTATCGAAGCGTAAACTGAAATACTGTATTTGCATGAATTTTCAGCTCAGAAAAACATTTCTTGAATTCTAGCCTTCGTTCATTCTTTCTTCATTAACATTATTTCTTCGGGTGGAAATGTACTTGCACATGGAGCATGTGATTCTTAAAATGTGTTTGTATTCCCACACCTTATCAGTTGATTTCGTACATGGCTCGATGCGCGATGCTGTGTGTTTTGACCTTTTATCCTTCATTCAAGGATAAACTTTTAATGAGTATGCTATCAGTGGTCCAAAGACTGGTTTCATTCTTAAAGCGATGCTTTGTTTCTGTGACCCATATCTGTTTCTTTTACATCTGTATTGTGGTCTTATTGAAGATTTCTTTCGTGGTTTCGTGCCAAGATGCATTTAATAATGGGCCGAAATAATTCTCGTTAGGCGACGTAGTATAGCCATACCTTGGGTTCGTCCATTCATTTCTTTGGTGACTATTCTCATTCTTCACAGTTGGCTAACTTTCGTGCTTTTATCGCAGAACATTGTTATTCTTGTTTAATTATAGTACGTGGTACTTCGGTTTGATCTGGTACTTTCCATTCATTACTTTTTTCGCCGTAGGCAGATTACTTACTCACAAATTGATTGGGAGTTTCTCTTTGGGTCTGCTTTGTTAGGCATCGATTTAAACGTGTGGGAAAGAAAGTTGGTGTATGCGCAACAATAATAAAGACGTCACTTAAGCCGCGACGATGCGCAAGTTATAACTAAGGTAATTCTAATTTTAAAATAAAATTTGGTGTTTTTCAAAACTTGCTTTACAGTTGTCAACCAATTCCGCTGGATTAGATTTTTATAAAACGCCAGAACTTAAAATTTTCTTCGATTTGATTCTGTTGGTAGGCGGTATAAGTTGACTTGTTTCGCAAAAATGGAATTTATTGGATTATACGAGAGCAAGTTATCTGTTTAAATGGAGAATTCCTAATAGGGCATCTGGAAGGAAAGTACCTCCTATCTATGTTTCACAGGAGTAAAAACCGCAAACATTTTCATTTTACTAGCATTTTCCTCGGAGTTTAAGCTATCGTCTATCCAAGGAGTTCTTAACCCGAGGGAGGAGAATTTGTTTCAGGGGGCATGAGGTCAGCTTTTGTTTACCTCTGAAGTACTAAGTTTAGTCTATGAATATAAAAAAACCACTTGTGTTGAAATTTTGCTATTCATTAACATTTTGTATACTTTTTCTTGTTTAATTTATTAAACATATTAAAGGCTAAAATTTAATGAATGTATGTATATTTTTTCCGAGGAGGGGAAAGGGGGAATGATGGTTTGGCAGTGGTGAAAGGGATGCGTGAGACACAAAAGGTTGAGAACACCTGATAATCCGCTCGCTGCTCGTAGGCCCACAGAAATGGGTAATCGGGGATTGAATATGTTTCTGCCACTGTATCGTATATTATAATCACCAATTGTGTTCTCCAGTTACTTTTATAAGCTGATTCAAATTTTTGGGTTGCAAGTTGAAGAAATGTTGTATCAGGCTATGGAGATCCTTTTCTTAGGCAGATAAACTATATAAAAGCAGTGCAATTTTCGAACGACGACTAGTTAAAACACATTAAGCAGCACCAAAGATATTTTTACCCGCCACAAGAAGGCCGCCTTTCAAAACACGATTTTCTGTGTGTTTTAGTACCGCTGAGTACCGAAACACTGATAAAGTTTCTAAGGGTAGTCACATGAAGAGGCTTAACTGTGAATGCATGGCAAAGGGGCCATAATGAATGCCATTAATTGAAAAGAAGTTTTGTGCTGAAACTTGTAGGAAATCCAAACCAAGCCGCTTTTAATCTCGATATCAGACTTTGTTTATGTTGAATTAAGAAGGTCCAGATGTTAATTTGAGAGACGCGCTGCGTGTTAACATAACATAAACAAGGCTGATTGGGCCGTGTGAATTGCATGTTCCTGTGTACTTGTTTTTGGTTGCTTCAAAGGTTATTTGGTATTGTCGCATTGTGGAAATACTGTAATGTTGCAACGTAAAACCAGAATTCTGGGATAACTTGGAATTTGAATTCTCCCTAGTTTTATATAAAGCTGTGTTGTAAATTACTTCATTGGTGCATAAATTTGAACTTGGTTACCACCACGCCTGAATAAAGCTATCACGATGATAATTTACATATTTGCCTGAATATTTTAGAAAATTTTATTCTAGAAACTCTTTTAATATTGGTCCCAAAATCTTCTGGTTTTGAATGGCGCAGTTAGCTATTACAGGTGTCAACCCTTCTTGATTTCCCGCGATAGCAAGACAAGCGATTAAAAGACGAAATTAACTTCTAGCTAATTCCCAAGGGAACTTCCTTGAACGGTTTAATTTACTATCTACATATATATTATCTGAAGTGCATAGTTTTAAATATGTCTTAAAATCGGCGAGCAGTATTAACTGAACTGTTGTAGAAGAATGCGGTTACTCGAGATTTTTCCAATTTATATGGCGTTCAGGGTATCCCACAGGTTTGCATGGAGAAAGTTGGTCATGCGTGAATAAGTGAATAAAGTTTGCTCAATTTCTCGCTAGAAATTAAAATTCAGGAAAAAAGAAGTGAGGTTGATTGTCAGGGAGCTCCTTCCTTGTACATTATTAAATAACGTATATCCGTTTGGAAAGTAATATTAACCTTCAATATTTTTTCCTTCAGCGCTTACTGCGATTATCTGGATCGGTATGTAGTCTTCAAATTCCTTCAGTTTGCTAACTTTTTGGTTGTATGCGACATATAGGCAATACAAGAATTCTTATAGTGTGTCATTAAAGTATAAGCTAGCATATAAAACAGTTCTTCATGGTTGTATTTTGGTGACTTTTGAGATGTTATAAAATGGCATGAATAAGATGATTCCAAATTCTGCGATTTAAAAAAAAGTACGGAAAGTAAAGGAGGCAGTATGATTGGTCTCTTAACTGAATGAAATAAGAGACCAAATTACATGTTGTTTGTTCCCTATATCAAAGCTTCTCTTTTCCCCTGTGTATCGTTTTGTTAGTCTTTTTTTAATTGTCAGTGTCTGTAATTGTTTGTTGCGTGTTGGTCGTTGGAACTGAAGATTCTTTCTCTTTCCCACGGATTACGGCATATTTACGGTCTAGTGAACAGAGAATCAATTGAAGAACGCTAGATTTTTAGGTTATGCATGCATTGCCGAATGCTAAATGCTATAGCAGGATTTTTTTGTTTTTAGGATCCAGGTCTTCTTGCGTTCTACAAAAGCAGAAAATTGCCACAGAAACGTGGAGTTTTTAAGAGGATTCAGTCCAGTCTCTGCAAGTGCCGTAATGGTAATTATTGAAAAATCCAACTCTTCTTTTATCAATTTAGTTTTCTGTAGACACAGTTAGACAACTAATATAATCTGTAAAAGCGCGGTGCTAGCAAAATTAGTCGTCCGAGTTTTAAACGTTACCGAGAAATCGCATAAACTTTAATTCTTCTGGCAGTTTAACGTCTTCAGTAGACTTAAAGTTATTAAATTAGTACGAAATTAAAAAGTACGAACATGCGTCAACAAAGGATAGAACAAAATGCTGGTGAATAGTTTGTGTATTAAAAATGTGCCACTTATTTTGCTTCTCAAGGCCGAAGAAGTGGCTGAATTTTTCCTTGCTCGATGTCACGTTATGCAGTGAACGTGTTAGGCATGGTAATTAAGCTAGATTACGCTTCTTGCCAGTAATCTTTTGAAGTATATTTAACATCCCATTTCGTAGTGTAAATTGACGTTACTAAAATTATACGAAGCTTATCTGCCTTTTGGAGGATTCCCTAACGGAAACTGGTTTGTATTCACTTTACATATGCGAAAATTAAACATGTAGCCAACGTGTATGCAACAGTCGACCAGTATCAGCGCTCTTATACATTAGGCCACTGGTGAAGACTGTTGTAAGGAACTGTAGAATGTCTTGTGATGTAACAGTCAGCACAGGATTTGATAATTTCGGAGACGCCTAGTATGATTTCGGTTGAAATGCCGCGAATCGTCGTTCATGCATTCTACGACGTTGAAACCTTCCGCGAAATAATTCAGATATTCGTGAATTCACTCTCTTCTTTACGTTACGTAACTATGGAAACGTAATATTTAATTTCTGAATAGACATTGAACCTTCACTTGTTTTCATAAAAGTACAGTGATAATTCTAAGTTAACGATAAAACTTTTAGAGAATAAAATTTTAATGAAGTCTGATAGTTGCGCCAACTTCATTCATTGCGGATTTTACCTTTCAGCTGGCAGAATTGTGTTTTTCTTATACAAACGTTTCTGTAGTAATGCCCTACTTTTTGTTGCAGTTAACTTCATCCCCCTAAGCATTTTTTTCTCGCTTCACGTTTTTGTGTAATGGCAGACATCGCATCATCGAGATACCAGGCTAACAAATTACTGAAATATTATGTTTAACATTTCTAGTTTGGGCAAAATTCTAAAGATTGCTATTTAGAAGTTTAGAGAAAGCTTGCTGAAGCTGTTTTAAGAATTGCATGAAATCCCTTTGGAGTAACTCCTTTGCAATTTTGTGAATGCGAAGACAATCAGCAGGAGATAGCCTTGTTGTGAATGGAATGCTTCAACTGTCGTAGATTACATCTGCATTGTCTGTCTGGGTGTACCTCGGAGACAATAGTCACGCAATTGATGTTTTAGAAAGTGCCATTGTGTATAGGTTGACTTAGCACTTCTTTGGTATTTCCTGAAGTTTTTCTTAGATATCAGTCAAGCGTGTAGTTGAATGTACTAAATTTGGTACTCAGTCACGTTGTTAGGAATTTATTCGTTCATTGGAATGCTGAAATTGAAACTTTAGGTCTTGCGGCTTTCATTATATAGCAGCCGAGTAATGGCGGTTATTTTTTGTTGGTTTAGACACTGTTGTAAAATCGAGACAGTTATAGCCATTGTAGTCATACAATGTTTTTGTTTTCATTTTTAAACTATGATATAAAATCTTAGGGCAAAAATGGCCATCTGGCGGTTCTGTTGATAAATAATTCTTGTTTTCAAAGAAGGGAAAAAGTCGGAATACTTTGTGTATTCACTATTGTATTTAATTGTGCTGGAAAATAAAAGATTATACAATTTAATATTTTTCCTGTCTGACAAGATTTTTGAAGTCGCGAACCAGTAATAATTTATCGTGATTTAGCATGCTGATATTCGAGTCATTTGCATTAAAAGCATACTTGGATGTTGGGTTAAGTGCAAAAAAATCTCCGAAGGTGTTTGAAACAAGACATTAACAACGGCCAAGAAGATAGGTGTTGAGTTTATAACTCCTCCAAGAAATATGCAAGTTTGGCGAACATTTTCCTGGTGATTTCTGTTAGAAACTTTTCAATAAGTGTTCACCTCGGTTTTATATATATTTCTGTTCAAACATATGCCCTTGTTCTCATACAAGAACAAATATCTCGTACAGGGTATAAATAATGGGAAAAAGTAATTATATTTCTTAAATATATACCCTGTACCAGAAATCTTTACTCAAATAGAAAATTCTCATTATTCCTGCTGTGGGTGTTGCATGTCTTCCTTGAAATGCGTTAATATATTGTATCAGTAGCTTGTGATGCTTAATAGATTTGTACTGGTCACTTTGTACACATTATCTTCCTGTAGACACAATATTTTATCAATATTAAAAAATTTTAACAGTATAACTTAAGAGATGTTGTTTCAGCCCACTTCCATCGTCTGCTAACCTCTGATAGATTAGTATGTTAAATGTTCAAATTTGCCTGAAAGTTTCCTATCAAATGCTTTCGTAGTTTTAAACTACGAAACGATTGTCTTCGCAATGTTTCTGCCGAAGGTCTATGAACACGACTTGGAATGACTGTTGTGTGTTTTTCGGGAAAGCTAGCTGCCTGGTATATTTTGCATGTCTGATTAGCTTTGGAAATGTATTGCAAATGATATAAAAAAGACGTCCAGTTCCTAAGCGTTGATAATTTTCCATTCCGAATAAGTTTAGTTGATTTTGAAATATTGAAGTGGTGATTGGTTGACTGTTCAGGCGACATGCGTATTAATTCTTGCTCGTTATATCATCAAAATTTATTTTTATCAAGTAGTCATGCCAGTAACTAGCCGGTGTCGACGCTGCGAATTGTCCATCTTGTGAACGCAGTGGGATTATCTAATCTAAGGACGCTTTCCAAGAAATGAGCTTTTTCTTCTACTATTTGTTCCTAACCGAAACATGTTTCATTGAAAGTAATGCCTCGGATAACTACGTGGAGCATTTTAATTTTAGTCAAAATGAAATGTTTTGCTTGAAGTTGTTTTCCTTGTAGCATCTTCCCAAAGAACTGGTTTTGGCTTAAGTCAACCAGTCGGATATCTCGAAAACGAAATTTCGCGAAAATGTTCCTTTCGACTCGCTGTGGAGGGTAGTAATTAATAGACGATTAAAACTCGGACATTACCCTCGATTATTTATGAGTTTTGTTTAATTTAAAAAAACTGTTTTACTAGCCCTCTCGATGGCTTAGAATATGCTTTTTCTAGGATGAAGGTAAAGACGACTCAGAAGAATCCTGTACCAAGACTCGGAAGAGTTGTCTACACTGAATGTAAACAGGCATGAAATGCAGTTGGCCAAAAGCTCAGAAGAATCTGTTTTTAACTTTTAAATTCAAAAGAAAATGTTGTATACTTTTTACTATTGTCAGTAAATCGAATTCTGTTCTAATAAAAGTATTTTTATACCTACTGTTTTAGCATTTTAATCTTTATGGAGGGAAAAATGTTTTGGTACTTTCGTATTATACCTTCGACCGTGAATGTCCGTTAGCACTGAACTGTGAAAGAGTAGATCCCCCAAATGTTGTGCTAGTCGTACCCTCGAAATTCTGAATGAACTGATGCTTAAAAGTGTTCGACTCTCATTCTTTTTGCTGTTCGTTTAAAAATTTAATTTCTTCTATTTTGTTACGCCTTCCGATATAACCGGAACCGCTCTGTTTAGAAGCGCTACGAGTACCAACCTATTACTGTTACGTCGACCGTATTCAGCTGACATCTGACAAACTCTTTTTTTTAATAGGTGGTGCAATCTCCTAACTTTGACAATGATCGACTGCGTGTTACTCTGTAGAAGGCACGTTTCAAATTTTTAATAACTTCTTTCAAAATGTAAGGGCAAATACACCAATAATAACTAATTTATATCTTTGTTAATAAAACAAAAGCTTATCGTGAATCATTCAAACGAAAGCACAGATGTGAGTTGTGAAATTACATTTATTCATAATTAGCACTGAAACGCAACAACTTCACAGCGACGGGTGTAAGTATCTACATTTTCTTTTGTGTTGATGATGGGTATTGAAATTCGGTCCTGCGACAGGATACGAAAACTGAAAATAGAAATATAAACTCTAAGAACGTGCTTGAATATATAAATGAATATGTACGCAATCACAATTACTCCAATGTACCTTTAGTATGGAACTAGACACAAAGTTCACGAATGTGTACTTTCTGGAGGAAGTAAAACCTGTATTTTGCCGCAATTCAACTAGCTGCTTAAAGTGTTAAAGGAAGCTGATGTGCCTCAAACTTGTGAAACTTTTCTGTCCCCTTAATTCAGGGCAGAAATATTAAATTTTATCCAGAAATGCGCCAAAATAGTCAAATCTCAATAGTATAGTGGTATTCTGTCAGTATGCTTGCTGGTGTACTAAATCACCTTCTTCAGAAGATTCAGAAAGGAATTTTATTTGGTTTGGTTTCTGTGATTACGGCAAAGCCTTGAGGTTTATCTAAGGAGAAGGATGCCTTCATGGAGGACTTTCTAAGGAAAACTGGCGCATATACACATTACAGATGGGGGGAAACCACAAAAACGCCCATGCAGCCAGCCCGCTCGCGGGATTCGAACCTCGGGCCAGTGTTCAGCGACTTAACCGCTCGGCCGGTGGTAGCCTAAAAAGGAATTAGGAGATCAGTTAATTGATGTCCGTGTTCACATTCTAGAAGTCACTAGTAAATAGTTTTGGATTTGAGCCATATTTTTCTGCTTTATCAGTGTTTCATTTACATCCTTATATTTCCACTGAACTTCTCTTCACAGTGTGCTGGGAAGATCCAGAGTTGTACTACTGTATTTTACTCCTGTTGTATTTCTTTCCTTATCTCAAGCTATCAAATGGAACTCACCTGCGGTCAAACGGATAACACCGCTAATCACTGGTTAGTCTGCCAATCTGCTTGGGAACTGGTACTTCCCATGCAGATTCCATACGAAAACTGTCCCAGTATGTGTAGCGTGAATACG